TTTTTTTGCAAACATAATAAATACATACATTCATTTACAGAAGAAATGTTTACTATATAATAACTAGATTTCATGTTCTTACACATACAATCTTGATCTCCTGTTCAAATTTATATCTTCAATTCGATTTTTCAAAATCCAAAGGGAAGAAAACAACATAAAACAAGAATCAAATCTAAATCTTATAGGCCCAATAAAATGCTGCCACGGCCCAATATATGTCTTTTAAGAGAACCCAATGTACGTTTATGGTTTTGTTTTTTTAAAATAAGAAATGTGTGTGTATATATTATGAGATGGGAATTTAACAAACTTCAGGCATATATATATATATATATATATGAATTATAAATGAATAAAATCATTTAGTACGCACCTTGTTCTTAAGATGATTGATTTCCTGTCTCCGTTGGTTGCGTGTTTGGGCCTCTGAGATTAAAAAGAAAGTAGGCCAAGTGACGATCTATGATCACAGAGAGAGAGAGACTTGAGATTGAGAGTACACAAGGGCTAAATTACGAAAAGACCCTCGAGTTTTCTCCCCCAATGAATTAGTATATATATTTTTTTGGAATTTCACTATAAATCAAATAAAGAAGGCGTGTTTGGAAGAGGGAGCCAATGGATCCCATATAGGGAAGGAGTGGAGCTTTATACCCAACCAAACAAGCCCAGAGAGAGAGAGACTTGAGATTGAGAGTACACAAGGGCTAAATTACGAAAAGACCCTCGAGTTTTCTCCCCCAATGAATTAGTATATATATTTTTTTGGAATTTCACTATAAATCAAATAAAGAAGGCGTGTTTGGAAGAGGGAGCCAATGGATCCCATATAGGGAAGGAGTGGAGCTTTATACCCAACCAAACAAGCCTCTTCCAATTATTATTCTCTGCACCATGCACGTGCCTCTCACGCTCCACCACTTCCTTATATGTGCGAGATATAAATGGATTGTGATGAATTTTTTTTTTGAATAACCAAGTATTTTGTTATTCAATTATTGTTTCAGGCAAATTATTTCAATACCCGAAAAAAGAAGAGAAAATAAATATATACATATATATATATAAATATATATGTGTGTACATATACTGTATATAACGTCTCGTCCACTTCTTCACATGGTCCCACCTTTACAGGCTGGAATATTTAATTTCCCATTGTACCTTAGAGCTTATTTTTAATATCGAAGCCGTCTAAATTTTTATTTTTGTAAGAAAAAAAAATCATCTAAAAAAAACCATTATTCATAAAACATGTAGTCTAAGAGTTTTAGTGAGTTAATTTTTTTTTAAAAAAACCATTATTTTAAAAAATAATTTTACACTATGCATATCTATAAAGATAACCATTTTTGAAAACACCACCCATAAGCGTTAACATGCCATAAAATTATTTAGGTTAGACTAACATTAAAATTTTGAAGATATAAACTATAAATCAAATAATAATAATTATTATAATAATTGGTTTATCAGTTGGGTGAGCGGCGGCATCTGGGCTTCCGGCTCTAGTGGCCGGTTTCCGAGCACCGTCCGATCTCGAGCAAGAAAAAGATGGGCAGAATCGGAACGCACCTTGTTCTCGCGTTGCCTTACGATTGGTAGACTTCCTCTCTGTTGGTTCTCGTCTACCTGGATCCGACAGTCAAGGCATGAGAGAGAGAGAGATAGAGAGAGAGATAGAGAGGAAGGCATGAGAGCTTCACCTGAGATCGTCGAATCCGAGATGAATATCGAAACTCAGATTAAGAAGAAAGTACGCCAACGCCAAGTGAGAGAGAGAAGAGTAGGAGATTTTTAAAAAATAAATAAATATGACATCATAAAATCTAACTATGTAAACGGCTGAGGCTTCACAGTACAAGGGTTGCAGAAGTACACACGACACGGAAAAGAGAGAGACAGAGAGAGGCAGACACGAAAGCGGTTTTCCAGAAACCCTAATTTGGTTTTTAATCAATAACGGATCGTTAATATGTATATATATAATAATAAATTTTATTTAAATATTAGTGAATTAATATGTATGTATATATATATATATATATATATTTATATACATATATATATATAATTCTATGATGATATAATAAACATAATGAAACTCTTTTTTGTACTAATATTAATTTTTTGTCACAATATTTTGTATTATTCTAAATTGCCCAAGTGGGTCCCTTGGACTTAAACACAGGGATTAGAGGGAGTTAATCATGATTTGGTGTCCGAAGATTGGTCCAAGGTGAGGTTGGACGAAATAAATAAAGTAATAGTAAAAGACAAGTGCAAAGAAACGATAAGTTAATTAATCGATTAATAGAGTGATTATGTCATTTTAATTAATTATGCTTAGATTAATTAATTTCGTTTTATTAATTTCAGAAGACGACAAAGAAGGAGAGTAGTCGGTAGAATCATGTGGAGGAGCAAACCTTATATCGCAGTGGTCCCAAAAGATTAAATTATTCTTTTCACAATATTATTAAATTAATAATCACATTAGCACCAATTTAATTTAATCTTAATCTATGCACGTAATGAGGGGCTATTTATTGCGTATTTTAAATTGATTAAAGCTGTTCCATCGGTTTATGTTTTTTCCGAATATTCCAGATTTATATGAATACGCACTATTTTTAACAATACAAATAAATTTATGTTATAATTCGAAAAAAGGAAGAAATTATATTTGTTTTGAGATATTTAATACTGCGAAATTATATATAAATATCCTATAAATACATGTTAGATAAATCCTATAAATTAGTAATTAACATTCGTACTGATTATTTTTAAAGTATATACTAAATTGAAATAATGCCAAACTATGATGTCTTGTATTGGATTCTATTAAAAATAGTATCTAATCAAATGTGATGTTACGTTTCGAATATTTAGATTGATTATATATGAAATAGCCAATTAATTTTGATTAATATAGAAATTGTATAAATCTATTAAGCCTTCTGCAATAATAGAGCTCACGTGGTTTTCCTTTCGTAACTCAAACCTAATAACCGGATTTAAAAACCGTACCCGTTTTGTACTGAATTGTAAACCGGCCGGTTTAGTTATTGGATTTATTATTTAATTTTAATTATTAATCTTATATTATAATTTGACTTAACGATTCAATTTCTTAGCTAACCCATTTTGCCTGGTCTTCTCAAATCCGTAAGAACCAAAGAAAACTACTTTTAATTATTTCATGTTCTTGTTTTAAAAATCGTTTTTACAATTTTTTTATTTGGCCTTTTTTCAAATTAGAAAATTAGTAGTAGTATACCATCTTACTACAAGAACAAGTGTTCAAATCGTTCCAATTATATATTTAGATTTTTCAATTGAATACAAAATATAAAGTGTCACATAAAACAGAACCAAACCCTATATCTATACATATATATATATATTATGTTATTGTAGATTGCGCATTCATTTTACAAACATTATTTTTTGTCGTCTATATATGTTTAAATATTAATGCGTTTTATATTAACTTGCGGCTTTCTATAATATCGTTAGGTGGCCATTGGAAGACCAACATTTTACAAGTAATCGATGAATATATATATATATATATATAACGTATAATAATGATGTCGTCTTTCCCAGACCAAAACGATGACAGACTGTTCCATTATATATATATACACAAACATATAAAAGAGAAACCCAATAAATTAAACGTCCAATGTAATCAAACTGTTGGATAAGCGAAGGAGAAAAGCGCATATACATATATATGATTATATGAGTATTAAAAAATTTATAATTTATTTTTAAAAAATCAATAATTGCAGTGATTAATTGATAAATAAATGAAAAAATTAGTAATTACTAATTATTTGATGGGGTCAGAGCATCACTACAGTGCACATATAAAATGAATTTATAAATTAATTATTAGATATATATATATAAATGAATGCACGGTATTGCCTCGAGTCTCTAATCTCTGATTATTTATATCTAAAACTTTCCGTTTTCTTTTGGGGAATTTTATAAAACCATGGTTTTTAATTACTCTGCTTAGATTTTATTTTATTTAATCTACACACCTATAGTTACTAAATGTCCGTGGACCGAATGTATAATTAGATTTATTAGTTCCAATAGATTCTTCGTTAGTAAACTATACTATTTCATTTTCTATATTTTTCCACATATGATAATGCCTATATTTATATTCATCAAACCACGTAGACCGAAAATGCGTATATATATAGTTTAAGATGGTGAATGAATGCATATTAGATAAATTAATAAAAAAAAAATCAAATAAACTATTGACCAGTAACCTCGGCGGAGTTGATGGAAGTGGGGCCGGCGGAGCGTGGTGCCACGCGCCGCAACGCATCCGCCACTTGCCCGATAATTGAATCACTTATTTTATTCTTTTCTATTTTAAATACATAAAATAAATTTTAAGAATGTTAAACCATGTGTAGTTAGTCAACTTGGTTAATTAACCATGATTAAGTCTCGGGATGGAAGTCCAAACTCATGGAATCAGCAAGCAAAGCACAATCACCATCCTAAGCTTGTGGGGAAGTTGAAATTGAAAAACTTGAAAATTGTCACATTTACATTAACTATTTTTTAAATCAATTTGTGTAATCGAGGTTTGTATTAATAGTTTTTATTTATTTTTGTTACGTAAACGATCATTAGGGATCTCCTCCACCTCTATTGGTTTGAGAATCCACTTCCTGAACAAGAGGTCGTGGGTTCAACATCCAAGGTATGGAGATTTTTCCTCCGGCCACTTTCGGGTGCTTCACATCCCACACGTGTGGTGTCGGTTGTGCGTGTGGGTCGGGATTAGTTTGGGTCATTTGGGTATGGGATTACCCGGTTATCAAAAAAAAAATCATTATATTCGTATATACCCATATGCATATACTTATATATATACATACATACGTATATACATAAATCTCTTGCATCACAATAGTTGTCTTTTTGCTCGTTTTTAATAAGAAAATATAGATGTTTTTATTAACTTATCGGTGAATGTTCGTATTTTTTTGGACCCGTAAATAAAGATAGACTCGAAAGCAGCCGATATTACAATTTAAATACCAAGTGTAACATGAAATAAATATAATGATATTGAACTATTTTCATTTATAAATATTTTTTAATGAAAAGTTGTTCCACTATATATTTTTATTTACAAATAATATAGGCGCCGGTACGAAAACTTTTACAGAAGAGCTAATGTTAAGACCACTAACTTATCATTGACATAAAAATTACGGGTCAACATATTTGATTTGTGCATATTTTATAAACTATATATATATATATATGGTTTAGTTCTTTTTATGTATATATATATGTCCCCTTTGTGTAGAGACTTAAAAAACATTAATAGGCGCCTTATTTTTGTAAAAGTTAAAAAAGGCAGCCAATAAGCTTTTATATATATATATATATATATATATATATTAAAAATATAGACATGCATACAGACACGGAGATATTACAGTTAATATTTGTATATATAATGTGCGTGTGTGTATCTAACGATTTTCTATATTCTTGGATCTCTAGTTGCGTCCCTTGCTTATATTCGTGATAAAAACACCAATAACGGTGGATTCTTGGTATAATATAAATTAACATAAGCGTATATTATACAACTCCTATAGTACTGTCCATATAACCAACGCGAAAATCATGTATGTATATACTAATATGAAGCAACCGTAACAAATATTCATTTTAATATATAGATTGGTCAGCTATTCCAATGTAAAATATTTCTTCTACATAGTAATTGAGCCCAAAAATCTTTTATTTTCTCAAAACCCAAATGCTACAATTTTGTCAATAACATGTATTCAATTTCTTCTTTTTTAAAACTGGCTTTGTACGTAGTAATACAAATTTTAACGTTTCATGAAAGAAAATTGGTCGTATTATATTTATATAAAACCAATTCAAATTCGGGCGTCCATTTGCATAGAAAGAAAACAATATAATAAATTCATAAAACTTGTCTTTCGGAGCTTTTGGGATAGAGAAAAGACGGAGTCTTCTCTCTCTCTCTCTCTCTCTCTCTCTCTCTCTCTCTCTTATTTCTTGTAGCTTCAGCCATTTCTTTTCTTGGGGTTCTATATATATTTTCCTCTCTTCTTTTGATATATAGTTTTTTTTTTCATATTGACAATAAATATTTAAAAAAAAAAACAGAAACCCTAATCCGTTTTAAAAATCCTCCAAATCCCATTTTTTAAACGTAAATCATTTTTAACCTAATTGTTTTTTTTTCCCCTTCATTTGATGTTGGCAAAAGCCAATATGGCTAATCTCGATCTAGGCACAGCTTCTCGCTACGTCCAGCACCACAGCCTCCACGACGACCTCAACCACAACACCGAAACTGCCGGCGCCGGACACTTCTCCGGCGAAGACGGCGGCGGTAGCGGCGGAAGCAGCGGCCATGGCTTTGACCTAGCCGCCTCGAGGCGGATCCGGATCCGGTGACCTGGTGGTCCGCCGGCCACGTGGACGACCGCCGGGCTCCAAGAACAAGCCGAAACCTCCGGTGATAGTCACGCGGGAAAGCGCCAACACGCTTAGGGCTCACATTTTCGAAGTGGGCAATGGCTGCGACGTCTTCGAATGCATCTCGACTTACGCCCGGCGGCGGCAGAGAGGAATCTGCGTACTCTCCGGCACCGGAACCGTCACGAACGTCAGTATCCGGCAGCCGACGGCGGCGGGATCCGTCGTGACGCTCCACGGGACATTCGAGATACTCTCTCTCACCGGATCCTTCCTCCCACCGCCGGCGCCGCCGGGGGCGACGAGTTTGACCATATTCCTCGCCGGAAATCAGGGACAGGTCGTCGGAGGAAACGTCGTCGGTGAATTGACGGCGGCCGGGCCGGTGATGATCATGGCGGCGTCTTTCACAAACGTGGCTTACGAGAGGTTGCCTCTGGACGAGCACGAGGAGCAGCTGCAGGTCCATAGCGGCGGCGGCGGTGGCGGGAACATGTTTCCTGCGGATTCCGGCGGCGGAGGCGGAGGTTTGCCTTTCTTTAATTTGCCGATGAGTAATATGCCTCACATGAACGTGGAAGGTTGGGCGGGGAATCCCGCCGGTAGGGCTCCGTTTTAGCGGTCGGTTCATAATGTTTTTCTATTAATTCGAAACTTTGATTTAATTTCAAATTCTAATCCGCCATGAAACTTTGGTTAATGTTCTCGATCCATCCATTCGTGTGTTGCTCTATATGCATGGTTTGAAATTAGGGGTTTTTATTTTATTTTATCAAATTAATCTTGTTTTACGACTCTCTTAATTCAATTTCTTATTTGATCAATTCGTAGTTGAAATTCTACTGTATTATTGTGAGTGAACTTTTCGCATAATCTTGTAGTGGATAATTTATTTAAAATAGAAAGAAAAAAAAAACACTAAATCTTTGTGGTCGGTTAAATTAGTTGTTCTCGTTTTTCTGTCCGAAATTTAATTTTATCTTGTATGTCCATGAGGTATTCAATAAAGCAAGATTTTACAGAAGACAGATGTCGTCTGATTATACATACATATATACATACATATACATATACATATATATATATGTGTGTGTGTGTGAATCTAATTGTACAAAAAACAAGTACAGAATGTACAATGGTTACATGTGTATATATAGATATATATGATCATATGTGCATGAGTAATGGCGAATATTGAATTCTTTGTATCAGTACGACTAAGTAACCGGTCTCCCTCATATATATATACATACATATATATAGCTGCATAATGTGATTTGTCGTTTTCTTTGATAATGGACCGTGCATTTATATAAGTCGTCTTGCATACTTATAATCGTTTTATTTTTCGAAGAGTTTTTGCACTAAAACCCGTTATTAAATGTGCACACACACACACATACATATATATATATATACGTGTATAAAATTCAAATACGTATTTTTTTTTGGTAAACCAAATACGTATATTGCAAGAGATAATTAAATATAAATTTAGATAAACTGCGAATTTAAAATTCCGGGAGATCAGCCAATAGCTAGGGTTTTCCAACGTCGACATGACTGGCTAAATATTCCCCACTTTGCAAAGTTTTTGAGTTTACCAATAAATAAATAAATAAAACAATACGTAATTTAAATATAATAAAAAAAATGACGACAAGAACGATTATATGATAATATTAAAATATAAAGGCAAGGTTGCAAGTGGAGTGCTGATTAAGAAATTAAATTAAGAAATTGACGGATTCCAATCATGCCCTTAATTGCTCAAACCATGTTTTTTGATTCCTAGCTGTCACACACGCAATTACCAAAAGTTTAGTAGCCCAAAGCTTTAATCACAATATAATATATATCATAGTCGTATAATATATATATATATATATATATATATATAAAGCTTCATTTTTTGTTGTATAAGATTTCTATGTTAGGTTAAACTACTTATATATATGTGTATATAATATATATATATATATATATATATATATATATATAATATGACTCGGATTATGCACCATAGACATAGAATTTCAGTTTTTCGATTGGATTTGATAATTTTTTTTTATCAAACTTTGGTTCGGTCTGAATTTTTGTACACTTTGGTCAAGAATTTGGCTTTATTGAAAATATTTGGTTTTTACATGTGATTTTTTCCAGTCATTTCAATATATCGTTAGAATTTAATTTCGATTCGTTTAATCTAACTAAAAAAATCATATAATTGACTGTGAGGTGATGTAGAAAATCCCATATAAATACATCAAGTTTACAAAATGTGCCAAATAAATGACTTAATTTTTAATTTTATCTAATTGATATCTCAGCTATTAAAATATTCTAAATTAATATCTAAACTATTGAAATATTCCAAATAAATACCTTAACTCATGAAATTGATAGCAATTCACAATTTCGATTATGGCGGTGAAATATAAATTACATGTTAATTTCCAACATAAAAACAGAATTCACGAAATCGATAACAATATATTTTCAATCTCGACTCTAATGATGATGTATAAATTAAATATTAATTGTAAAATAAAAAACGAGTTAAAGTTGAGAATTGCTATCGATTTAATGAGTTAAGGTATTTATTTGGAATATTTCAATATTTTAGGTATTAATTTGGAACATTTTCATAATTGAGGTATCAATTAGATAAAATTAAAAGTTTAGATATTTATTTTAAATATTTGGTAAAGTTGAGATATTTATATGGAATTTTCTTCGGCTAATACTATATTATATCCTATCGAATACCATTCTACTTCTTACATAAAATGTGGTTTCAGTATGGACCGACGAAATTAATTTTAATACAAGGACTTCGCTCCCATTAATTAAAAATGTAAAATGTGGGAGAAGGAAAATGGGTATATATACATGTATATATATATATTGTTATTTGCGGTAATATCATTTAAGATATAAATAAATATTTATTACATAATTTGTTGTTTAATCATAAAAATATGCGGTATTAATTAACAAAACAGTAAGGATCTTTGTTTTCCTTCACACGATTTGCATCTAACGGACCTTCGCATATTTATTTTATATGTCTGCTGCTGTATTCCTAATTAAGTTAAATCCAAAAAAAGCGAGAAGATTACTTGCTGCTAATCATTGTTTAGAATATAAGAAAACATTAATTAAACTATCACATCCAACTGTTACAGCCAAATAAATTGCAATAAATAAATAAATAGAGAAAGGGTATATTCTTTGCCCTAGTATTTAATCTGTACTAACAATTGTTATCAACGTTTCATTTATTTTATTTATATATTTAAATAAATAAATAAATAAAAACGGGTCGGAATTTGAGACCCAATTACGCATTGGACTTCATGATAGGCCCAATCAAATATAGCCGTTGATCTCCCACCTTATTTATTTATCTAGAAAAAATTATAATCGGGACATTAATAAGATTAAATTTAATTTTATTACGGAACATTTACTAATATAAATTAAAATTTATAAAGAAATTAATTTTTTTAATTAAAAATTGGGGACATATGACCCTTGGGATCTGCTTGTGGTCCTACGTATATGTAAAACCGGTTTAGTTTGGTTTAATAAAAATAATTGTATAAAACTTTTTATTCTCATCAAATCAATAAATAGCTTGATAAAATTTGTCAAAAATCACATTTCAATCTCTAAATTCGGTCCATTAAATTTTTTTTCAAAGTGTTTGGATTAAGCATAAAACCATACAAATATGAACGAAATCAATTATCTATCAATCTTGGGAATAGAAATCGATAATATCAACGAGATCGATCTTCGAGAACGAAGAGAGATCATTCCTCAGCAGCCACAGCAAGTGCTCGAACAAGATTGAATCCACATGGTACAGGAATAAGACTCCTTTGGACCGGTTGAACCGGTTCTTGGTACGTTCTTTAACCGGTCCCATCAAGAACCGAAACGGGCTCTCTTCAAGAACAAACGGCTCGACCAAAAACTCTCTTCTCTCCTTCCCCACCACCACCTTGACCGGATCCTCCATGGACCATGTCGCCGGTCAAGTTCCGGTACGCAAACCGGGAACCGGTCGAGAGCCGTCGGAGCTTTTCGACTGGCAAAACCAAGCAACCCATTTGACAGAATCCGAATATATACCGAATAATATATGAATGGTGTTTATGAAAACTATAAGAACGAAAAGATAAACTATATAGAGAGAGAGAGAGAGACTGACAAGTGTATCCAACGGCTCGATTACTATGAGAGATTTGCACGCTACGGAAGGTGGTATTTTCGTAATTTTGTCGTCGGTGGTAGATTTCTAGGGCTGACGTGGCGACCACTCATTGGTCTTAGTCGCCTACTTGGTGTTGTCGGAGGGCGATGTCGGGGCGAACGCGTAATGACCCAAGTTCGACTTAATTACGTCTAATACTACAAAATTATATGAATTTGTAAATAATTTGTCTGTTCACGATCTCTATTGAATTCTAATTTTTATGTATATATTTTGATTGGTTTAATGAAAAATATACCGGTTTTATGTACGTTTCATAAAATATATAAATATGTTCGTATATTATTTTTCAAGAGATTTCATTTTCTATAATATTCGAATTGGATTTAATGTTGTCAAATAATCGAATATTTTCAAAGTACTCAACATGACTTTAAGCGTTTGTGAATGTCTTCCATTCTTGGTTGGTTATAGCTAACTTAGACAAAAAAAAACAAGTGAGAATATATATATATATATATATATATATATATATATATATATATATTAATTACTCACCCATTTACACTAATTTACAAGTCTCGAAAATACCCCTTTATCGATTAAATGTTTGATTGAAATAATTTTTTTTTTTATAAAAATACCATGCCATCTAGGGGTGGACGTAAAAAGAGATCGGTTCGGTTCTTTCGGTTTTATAAAAATAAATACCAATCGATTTTTATATTATATTCGGTTCGATTCGTTTTAATTTTATTAAAAAAATGATAGATTTTCTTTAAAAATATTCGGTTTTTTAGAATTTTTGAAGTTCGATTATCGATTCGGTTCCGAAAAAATTTGGTCCTCTAAAAATGTTACCGCTCGAAAATTAAGAACGGTTTCGGACGGTTTCGGATCGAAAAATTTTTTTCGGTTTGATCCGGTGTTGAACAATCGAAACGAAACGCCCAGCCTAATGCTATCTACCATTTTATATGTAAATTTCTGTTCGTTCACCCCTTTGAGATGATTTCTCTATTTATAGAAAAAAATGGATGTTAAATGTTAAAAAAAAATCGATGCATCTTTTCTAAAGAGTGCTTATAAAATAAACCCTAATCTCCATTATCCGACAAAAGTCACACGCGAAAACAAACTTAAAAACCCTTAAAAAAAACAGACCGTCAAATTAATCAAACACATGATAGGGAAATAGCTAGAGCACATCGTTTCCGTGATGATGATGGGCCACCGGGGGATACGGCAGAGGCACGGTGGTCCCGGCCGTCGGCGGCGCGTGAAGACCACGGCCAAGGTGGTGGGCGTGGGTCTGTTTGGATCGCAGCTTCTCCTCGGCGTGAGCCGCCATGGCTATGTGCTTCTCCATCTTCGCCTCCGCCTCTCTCGCCTTCTTCCTCTCCTTCGCTATCTGCTTCTCCTCCTTGCTCCTAGCCACCGCTTTCTCCGCCTGCTCCATTATATACATACATATATATATGTATATATCATCCCATAACATAAAACACACTAGTTCGGTAAACTATATTAAAAATTATACGAATTTTTATTTTAACGAATAAATACATTAAACATTAAAATGCTTAAAAATGTTTCAAATTTTAAAATCTATAACACATTTGTTTAGAAAACAATATCTTAATTAATCTCAAATTCGTGCATGCATGTAGAATCAAATCTGTGTAGCAAATTGTTTTTAATTTTAAGAAATAAATGAATTTGTTTGTCAAATAATTTCTTTTTTTGTGTTTTTTTTAGACAAATGTATTTTCATATATAAATATCATTACCAACTTTTATATTAACAGTTTGCTTAGCTAGTGTAACGTTTTCTTGTCCAAATTACATTAATTGTTATAAGATATATATGATGAGTTTATATTCCTTAATATATCATTATCGATTATAAATATATATATGTATATATATATATATATATATTCAAAATTGCCAGACCTTTTCATCGGTTTTGGCTTGACAAATTGCGATCTTCTCCTTGGCCGTACTGGCCATATCGCTTATCTTTTGCTTCGCCGCTTGCATGTTTTTTTTTCCTTTTTTTTTTTGCTTTCTCCGACTTCCGAATGGCTATAACCATTTGGTTATAAATTGCAAATATTATAACTTTAGCTACGACGGTCCAAAGCTTCATCCTACGCACACGTGTCACGTAACGCCACGTGTATGTATTGAAAGCCCGCTTTCCTGGTCTTCTGCCACGTAGATCTGCCTCGTCAGCTTCTCGTGTTTCCTTCGGACGCGAGCGTGACCACGCGCCGCGGTTGGTTCATGTCGATTCGAACCGATTATTGAATTTTAAAATTCAGGTAAACCGGAGATACAAACCAAATGGGTCGCACCGGTTTATTAGAAATTGGAGACGAATAGAATAACACAGCAAAGGAGATTGATAGAATCCGAGGGATTTTGTGAATATTTTTAGATTGGTCGGCGAATCTCTTAAAAGTATTTCAAGATAACGTCGATCTGTATTTTTTTTTAATATAAAGTTATTTTATTTATGAAAAAACACACCCTTATATAAGATATAACTAAAATACGTATTTAACCGTATAACCCTAAATTGAATATAAATAAAATAAACCTACACAAACGCGAATATAAAGACTTTTAATGTAAGATGAACATTTTTTTTTGTATCAAACTGAGTTTTTTTATTATTATTTATTATAGACCATGAATATAAATAATAAATTAGTATATTTTCCATATTCGATATGGATTTTTTTTGTTGTAATATTACTATTATCTACTACTATACGTATAGTAACAGCCCGATTATAACTAAACGCAGTGTTGTCCCTCTATTTAAATAAAGAACAATACCACTTGTATACCGGTTAACGGTAAACCGTTAACCACACATTTCTTTTGTCATTTCATGATTGTGGTCCATTGTTGGAAATTAACAAAATAAAAGTTAAATGCCCTAATGGACCGTCCATCATAAACGGCTCTAGAACCAGTGTGGGTCTATGTTTCGCATATGATGCTTGTTCCTTTGTTATCCAACTCATACATACATACATACATACATACATACATACATACATACATACATACATACATACATACATACATACATACATACATACATACATACATACATACATACACTCATAGAATATACCTCTGTGATATTTCTTAGAATTGACCTCTTCTGAAAATGATTGTGAAGGGAACCTCTCATAGAATATACCTCTGTGATATTTCTTAGAATTGACCTCTTCTGAAAATGATTGTGAAGGAGATTTTCTAGTCATTTGTCTTAAAGAGTACATGTGGAAGTTATTTCATAGCGTAATGGTTCGAAATTCAATGTTTCTTTTTCAAATGGAACATTCCTTTTTAAAGATCATAATTATTACTGCCTCCATTTCAAAATATATATATGATGTTTAAAAATTATACACAAATTAAAAAAATAATGTTTTTATCTAAAATACCCTTATTTATTACATAGATAATTATTATCTCCAAACATGCAAAATATTTAAATATTACTAATTAAAGATAAATTTAGAAAAATATTGAAAAGTACATTGAAAATATCTAAAAGCGTCATTTATTTTGGAACAAAATTTTATTGTAAAACGTCATCTATTGTAAAACGGATGAAGTAATATCGTATAGGATTTTAATATTTCATTACACATCTACACACATATATATATATATATATGTATATATATATATATTGCACGCTCATTATTATACATAATTTCGCCCTTTGTTTTAGCAAGAGATGTGACAGGAAGATGTGTACGTTATCGAGATTTGGCTGCCGAATTTTTTGAAAATTATCCTTATCCATATATATATACACGTATGTATTTATATATACACGTATATCTATGGACTATATATGCATGCGTAGCATTTAATTTGATTTAACGATATTAATTGACAATTCAGAGGAGCATTAACTACGAAAAACAAGGAAAAAAGGCTGTGGGCTTTAGTCAAAACACAAAGTGTCACATGGTTCTTCAGAAAGCACACGAGACAACGAACTCAATCTTATCCTATAACACGATTAAGTTAATTTCCATAAAAATATTAAATTAATTTAATTAAAAAGATTAAATTAATCTCCATATAAATTTACCAAAATACACCAAAGGAATAATAAAAAAACTACCTTCTAGTCTTCTACCATACATAACTCAAGATTAATTTACAAAACAAAATATTTTTTATGTTATTCACTCAACCAAATAATATATATATATATATAAACATAGAATAAACATAATCCCACTAAAAAATTATAAACTAATTTTATTAGTACGACAGTAATTCTATTAGCTAGTAATAGATAAACTCTACCTTTCTATATTTTTTTTAATAAATTGTATTTCATCGTATTCATAATATACGCCGATGAAACACTATATTTTCTACATTGTACGAGTCGTACGTGTCCGATTCAGACAATTTCGTATCCCCATTTATTTGGGGTGATAGGAAAAAAATATTTACGTAATAGTTCATGCAAGTATATGTATCAATTGTTTAATAGTCTAATTTTGTATCAATATGTATAATAATTCGAATAATTCAACCGTCAAACTCTCTTTGAAGATAAAGCAACGACAAGACAGTAACTTGCTTTATTTGTGAATCACTCATACAAATACAAACATCATAATTTAAACAAAAAAAAAAGAAAGGAAAAAAAAAACCTCAAGAGAGAAGGCTCTATACATTGTAGATGCAACTTGAACTCACATCCCCTTTAGAAAATTCAATTATAAGATCGGATATGTAATTAGACTTATATATATATATAGATATATTCAAATGTTGAATTTTTGGTCGGATGTGGTCGTGGTCGTGGACGCCTACAAGGTTATATAAAAAAAAAAGATAATATGAATCATAAAGATAATCACGTAATTAGATCATATTGCAAAAAAGATTAAGAATCTAATGTTTAAAAAAAATTAAATTTTTTGGTACTAACCCCAACGGGAGTGACAAAGGTGCAAACGGCACATTTGACGGATCTTGCTCCGTATTGATACATCAAAAGCATCCTACAGTTCCCACAGTTTACATGCGCAACTTGATTCGCTGTTCAAACGCAAACGTAATCGCAAACGCAAATCCATTTGATTATATAATGATACTTGTCATAATTATGTATATTTAGGGTTTATACATTATATCGATGAAAATAAAAAGATTATATTATATATTACCTTCGAGAGCGAGATTAACGGTGTGGCAGCAGGAGCATTGAACGCTAGTGGCTCCTCTAATATACATAAGAAGAGTGTGACATCCTCCGCACACCAACTGCGCCATCTCCGTACCTGCGTTCCAATCGCCAAACGCAAACGCAACAGCCATATATATCGCAACCGATCAGATTCCATAGGGGGAAGCAGCAAACACAAGAAAACGATGCTGAAAACGTTCCATCTCTCTTTCTCTCACACATATACGTATATATATATATACACACATATACACACACACATACAGAAATACATATAAACACCCACTGGCTCTGCCCTCCTCCTCCTGCCCTCGGAAATACATATATATATAATACATACACGGAAATACACAGAGATGGGGAGAGAGTATACCGGGAGGAGGGACGGCGGTAACGGCATTGCAGACGGCGCAACAGACGGAGGTAGCTCCCACTGGATACAGTAGAAGGTTTCTGCACCCTGAACAGACCAACTGGCTCTGCCCTCCTCCTCCTGCCCTCGCAAAAAAAAAAAAAATTACAGATTTTGGCATATATATAGCTAGGTTTTAATCTGAAAAAAGATTCCATCTTTGGATCGTTGTGATATTAAAGAGAATACAGAGTTTGGTTTCCATATAAGCAATAGCGGCGAATCTGTGGGGTTTTGGGAGAAGATTCCGTCTTTGAAGGGTTTTGATATTAAAAGTAACAAATGGGTTTTCGAAAAGATTCCATCTTTGAAACGTTTTGATGCAAAAAAACCTGAACTTTTTTTCCCGGAAAAAAAAACGCAGAATTCAGACCAAGCCCTTTACGAGAATCGCGTCGGTTTTGGGCTGTCTGAAGCAGAGATTCCGAATTATCCAGAGACTCAAAGGATTCAAAACAGAGCCTCATTTTCTCGGGAAACAAACAGAAAACTATATAGGAAGAGATGTACCGTTAGTGGCTGGTGGAGGAGGAGGAGCGTACGGCGTCGGAGGCGATGGATATGGCGCAAGAGGGACTGGCATTATTATTCACCCACAAAAGTTTTTAAATAAATTTTTAAAAAAATAGAGATATTATAATCTCTCCCTCACCCAAAAAAATAAAAATAAAAAGTCAGTGGCACATCTTCTGTTCTTCTTCCCCCATTTTTCTCACTTGGTTATATCTACAAATTAAAAAAAAATATATAAGAATGAAGCAATGTTATAACTTACATGGGAAAAAAAGCCCTAAATGCTTGAAAATTCAGAAACATGGGAAAAGCAGCTGAGTCATATATATACCCCTGGAGCTGTGACTGTCAGTGCATGTATATCACTTTGACATTTCTGCAGTAAAATTTGAGAGTATGTATATATATGTGTGTGTATGTGTTTATATACACATATATATATATATGTATGTATGTGTGTGTGATGCAAAAGGGGTTGCAGAAATGAAGAGACTCAGAGAGTAATATAAGAATTTGGGGAGAGAATGTAAAAAAAAAAAATGGGAGTGGGGCAAACACACACCCCTTTAGCAACTTGCCTTTATCAATTAATCTCGGAGAGAGAGAGAGAGAGAGAGAGAGAGGGAGGTGAAAAGCTCCACAAAATAATATAGGAAAAAAAAATATAATTCTATGAAAATTGCTGTCAATAATTTATATCCCGTAAAATAATAATGTATTCTATGTAATATTCAATATATATATATGGGCTATTTCATTGGGTAAAATATCCAAAATACACTCTTTACTCCTACACCTACATTTCTCCAGTTGTGACCTTGTGACCAGAATAATTGTATGGTCACATGATGATCACATTGGTCACAACATTATATTTTTGATGATTTTACCCAATGATTAGTGTGATATGTAAGGTGTGACCATGGTGATTCGATATAATCATAAATTTAACGTTATGACCAATATAACCATCATATGACCATACACGAATTCTGGTCACAAGGTCACAATTGGAGAAAGGTAAGTGCAGAAATAGTTTTAGAAGTAGTTTTAGCAAAATGAGAGTATTTTGGATAATGCTCCCTTTCGTTGAGGATGAATATATATAAAACTATGAAATTTACTAAAAAAAAATGTGCATGAATAATATTAACATGGCCGGCTTATAATAAATAAGTCTGCCAAAACTCGTTACAAATGGGGCCATAGTTGTCACTGAAGCAACCTATGAAACTTTTTTTTTGTTTATTATTTTCTTTAAATAAATTAGTTTGTAGTTCATTAAATTCACATTTTATTTTTTAGCTGAAAAAGGGGGAAATTTATTTGCATATACACATACATTTGTAAATGAATAAAAATAAATAAATAATAATAATAATAATAATAATAATAATAATAATAATAATAATAATAATAATAATGAAATTGTGGTCAGTAACTGGAAGTTTGGATTTCCATGGTGGGATATCAAGATCACGTTTCGTCTTGTACTATTCTTAATGGACCCAACTCACTTAAGTTTATGTTTTTTCTTTTCTTTCTTTTTTCTTTTTAAAATATTTTGCTCATAAAAGACAATATATATACATATATATGTAAAGAAAAACAATTGAATTATATACACACACACACATTTACATGTAAGTATTTTCTTGAAATAAAAATTAAACCAAACGATTTTCATAGTTTATTTTATTTTATTGCAATTTAAGACAACGTGGTCTTATTATTTATACATTCACATACATGTGCGCATAGTATAATATATTTTTTTTGTCGGAAAATTATAATGCATTTTGCGAAAATATTTCTATAATAAGAGAATATAGATATTTCACTTTCCGAAAGAACACTACAATAAACACCAAAATGGATCTTTTTTTAGATAAGCATGCACATGCAGTGCCCAAGGATGGGGCCATCCACATTATAAAATATTTTGTGGACTTTTCTCCGCATTTTTTTTTTCATTTCAGAGCTATTTTAATGATTTAATTGGAGAAAAATAAAATTTATTTATCCTTAAAACTATGAATTTATGATATGATTAACGTGGCTTGATATAGACAACACATTTCACCTTTCTAGGACAAGCTTATACATATACAAAGACATATGTATACATGATATGGATAGTATGTGTAAATATCATATACTCCCTCACTTTCTAAATAGATATCATTTTATTTTATTTTTTATAATTTTTAAATAAATACAAAAAAGTTATATATACCATTATTAAATTAAATTCTCATTAATTCTTTATTAGTTAAATATTTTTAATTAAAGATGAAATTGATTATTTTTTAAAAAAATTCTAAAACGAGATTTATCTAGTAACACGAAATGTTCTTTAAAATGATATATATTTGGAAACAAAGGAGTAGAAAATAATCTAAAAAATATATTGGATAAACCCTAATTAATGCTTCAACACTCACGTATCATAAAATTGGTGATCCACGATAAAGTTTGGAACTTTATGTTACTTGCCAAAAAATAAACGTTTTGGAACTTTATGTTGTGTAGACCATGGAGAACCCTCTGACTCACAAGGAGGCTACATGGGCAAAGTAGAGAGAGGACATTAGGGGTGGCCAATTCGGATTTCGGATCAATTATATTCGAATTCGGTTATTTTGGTTATAGAAAAACTATAACCATTCGTTTTTTATATAAATTTCAATTCGGTTCGTTTTCGGTAAAAAAAAATTTATTTTTCAAAGAAATTGTCGGTTTTTTCGGTTATTTTTTTATTCGGTTCGGTTCGGATATGATTATATCTTATTCGATTCGGTTCGGCTCGGTTATTCGATTAATAACCGAAATGGCCACATGATTTGATTTGACTGAAGAAAGAGACAAAAGGGTCGATTTTTAAGACATGAGATTTGAGATCACAGTTGGAAAAAATCCATAGTCGTTGTCCAAAAGTTTCAAATTTCCACATCAAAGATGCCGTTTCCAGAAGCAAGCAAACAGGATAAATCTCTATGTATGTGTTGTATGCATGTACGTATGCGCGCGCGTGTGTGTGTATGTATGTATGTATGTATGTGTGTGGATTGAGGAATGGGAGAGGGAACAAGAACAGAATGACATTTGTTTATTTAAGAAACAGAGAAGGGGTCATGCTGTTGAACAGCGGACGTGGACGTCTCTTGGAGACGCATGAACCGCCATTAAAGAGCGGCCATGGATTGTACACGTCCAGATATGCCACTTACAGTGATGGGCATCATCAGATGCATACAAAAAACCCATTTTTTTAACCGAAAAAATCCAGCAAAAGCCACCACAAGTGCTGCAAGACAAAAGTTTATACGACTATATACATATGCAACACAACACGACGATTGTATATAACAGTGTTTCTTAACCAGAAAATGTTGACAAAACTCAATGTAATCAAACCAAAAGATTCGGATAAGCTTTGAATAAATCATTCGGATGAGTTTTTGGTACTAACCCTTTTTATGGCAGCAATGTAGTAGCCTTTTGAAGGACCGACACCCTTTTGAAGGACCGACTTGACTCAGCGGTGAAACCACCTGCCGTGGAGTCTGAGATCGCCGGTTCGAATTAGCCTCTCTGCATAAAAGTAGGGGTAAGACGGTCTAGTGCATTCCCCTCCCCATCACCCCACCAGGTGGGGACTCGAACCGTTTGGTCCTTAAAGTAGCAGCCTTTGCAATTGAAAAATGAACGCAGAACCTGAAAGTTGTTGGATGTTAGAACTGCTCATTGGCCCATTTGAAAGATTGAAGCTTTCCATGAACTGTATACTGAGAGAGGGGGGAAAAATGGATATGGAGATGTATTTTCATGCATGGAGGCAATTTCTTGGATAGAACGGATAACGGAAGTTGAAGATTTTACCGTTGTCACGCCCTTATGAAAATGTCCGACCGAGAAAGCGGGCACTCTACAAGGCTATGTATCAATCATAGCTCCAGAAGTCACCTGAGACAAGTATATGCTGCAAACATGAGCATTGCTCCAATAAGGACAATGCTGAGTTTAAGACATGGAAACCATTGCGAGAAACTAGATGCGGTAATGATCTGTGTATTCATCGGTCACTTTATACAATTCATCGAGAGTATACTCATCATATGTCTGTCAACAAATGCACGTAAACCCTGCAATAACAATGAGGAGAGATTTAAGCTTGTGTCATATAACACCATCAAAGAGTAACAAGAAACAAGAACAAATATCTCGTACTTGAGAGCTACAGCTCGATCTTTCTTTTGTTCAACTCGTCCTTAAGAGAATTAAACTCGTCTTGCTTGAAATTATAGTCGGAAGGATCCATCCCATCATCGTATTGTCTCGCGGAATCAAGAAACGGCTCATTGAATTCCCCAATCTGCAAGAACAGATCACTGTTTCGGGTGAAAGAGTTCCAATTGTCTCACTTTCTTTTTGTTTTTCTTTTAGAGGACCCATCAAAGTTAGTGAATCAGAAATGTAAAAGGACAAAACAACTATAAGCTTCAATTGCTCAAAGAAGAGACTTTCATCACACATGTGAAGTATGTTCCATTCAACAGAGATTCAAGTAAAAGAGAAAGAATCTCGTCCACATTCCATGTATACACATTAACGGGTCGGCCTCGAGGAACCGAATTTTCAATCTTTTCCGAAGAAAAAGCCGACATTTCACTCATACATTGCCCTCGTCCCGAGCTGAAAGAGGTTAACCATGCGATATGAGCCGAGAAAACACATGTGGGCAAAGGGCAATCAGTTCATCAATCATCAATTCAGACCCCATCGTGTGAAAATGGTCCGTAATTGGATCAAGTTTGAAGCTTTTTCTTCTTCGATTCGACCATACCAACTATAAGGCAAAATCCTCGACTAACATATGACCATTTGATCATAACGCTCCACATAAACAAAGACATTGATCAAGTAGAATCCTCAATCTAACATTCTCAAGATTTATCCAGATAAAGCAATACCCATCTCGTGAAAATCCGAAAACTCTTCGAATCCAGTCCCTACTCATATAAATATCTATGGTGTTCAGAATCAACATTCAACCAATATGTTAACAAAACCTAGATTGAATGGAATCAGAAGAAAATAAACGAGAATCAACATTCACAATCGCAAGAGATTGATCTTACCGGGTGATAAGATCAGCAAGTTCGAGCTTCGAAGCGAAGTGCGGTGACTTGAGAGCTTAAGGGGGAAGAAGAAACGAAGCGGAAACGACATCGTTTTAAATATAGGCTGATTAATGGGCTAATAAAGGGCCCAAATACGGCCCATAGCTTGTGGGACCCACACGACGCTCTCTTGGCTTGCTCGCTCTTTTTCTGTTCACTTCTTGTTCGTCTCTGCCGAAGCTCCTCTCCAGGTGGGAAAATTCTCTATCGCCGATCAGTGAGTTCTTGATTCTCTGGATTCAATCATCGAATTCGATTTTTCTTATCGTTCTTTTTCGATCTTTTGAATTTGATCCTTTTTTTCTTGATCACGGTTTGGTGGTTTTCATTTGCCGATTCATGATCTTATTGTTTCCATCTCTGTAGAAAAGTTTCGGATTCTTCGCGTATATATAAGCGTCCGCCGTATAGATACGGTGTCTCTGATGGGCTGTACTGGGAGGGAGAAGCATCTACGACCTAGCCGAAAGTCCCGATCCGTGAAACCCGAATTCGACCCGTGTTGTTTGTTTGATAGAACAGCTCTATCGAAATCTATTGTCGAATCGAGACTCAAGCACCTGTTTTATCATCCGAGTCTTCCGGATTCGGGTTCAGACCCTGGTACCGTCACCATGCCCAATTCTAACGAGAATTTCGAGGAGAATGGGTGGGGGTACTGTACAGAGGATCAGCTGGAGGATATTCTGTTGAAAAATTTGGAGTATTTGTACAATGAAGCTATCTCGAAGCTCATTGCGTTGGGTTACAAGGAGGATGTGGCATTGAGAGCCGTTTTGCGTAATGGGTATTGCTACGGTGGTATGGATGTATTGACAAACATATTGCATAATTCGTTGGCTTATCTCAATAGCACCAGCCTTGATGGTAGTGATGGGGACAACGAGGAGGAACAGTCGGAGACTGGTTTCACAGACTTGAGACAGTTGGAGGAGTATTCGCTCGCTGGTATGGTTTACTTGCTGCAACAAGTTAAACCTCATCTCAGTAAAGGCGATGCCATGTGGTGTTTGGTAATGAGTGAACTCCATGTCGGTAGAGCAAGTATGATGGATATACCGAGTTCGGGAAATGGGGGTGGTTGTGCTGCTGTGCATAATAACGTAGGGGATGTTAATGGTGGTAGCGTGAATGGTTTAGGTGCCATGGAACCGGCATTATACAGATTCCATGGAGGTTGGGGTTTTGGAAATGGGGGAGTACCAGAGTTTTCTGCTGGTGGGGTTCCTTCTTGCAGTTGTAGTGCAGAGGTAATACTGCAGAGAGAGATTGATTGTCCGAGGAAGTTTAATCTCTCACCTTCCATGAAGTCCTTGTTGAAGAGGAATGTTGCAGCATTTGCTGCTGGATTTCGTGCTAGTATGAATCATATGCATATGCAGCCTCATTCCAGTGGTAATAACTCATCTTGTACAAATGCTGGCCGTGTGGAAACATGTGGGCAACCTCATAACTCGGGAAGTGAAGAAATTGTTAGTTCCGTGTTGGAGAAATTTCGGGATTTGAACCTTGATGAGAATCTTGAATCTGCTGGTGAGGATCAAAAGAATGATATGATAGTCAATTTACTTCATCAGATAAAAGATCTTGAAAAGCAAGTAAAAGAGAGGAAGGGTTGGGCTCATAAGAAGGCAATGCAAGCTGCCCAAAAGGTCAGCGATGAACTAGCCGAGCTTAAAACATTGAGGAGTGAGAGGGAAGGAACTCAACGGTTGAAGAAGGGCAAACAAACACTTGAAGATTCAACCATGAAACAGTTATCTGAAATGGAAAATGCTCTAAGAAAAGCCAGCAGTCAAGTTGACAAGGCAAATGCGGTTGTAAGAAAGCTCGATAATGAAAATGCAGAAATCCGAGCAGAGATGGAGGCTTTCAAATTAAGTGCATCAGAGTCGCTTACTGCATGCATGGAGGCGGCAAAGAAGGAGAAAAAGTGCTTGAAGAAGCTTCTGGCCTGGGAGAAGCAGAAAATGAAATTGCAGGATGAAATTACAGCTGAAAAAGAAAAAATCAAGGCGCTCAATAGGTCTTTAGCTCACATCATGCTGGAAGAAAAAGAAAACGAGGTATGCTGCATATATTATTTCCATTCATAGTCAATTAGTCATGCACATGAAGTTCTTCTGGGTCTTGGTGATTTTAACTCCTAGACCTGTGGAAGAGCCTTTAGTTAAGAATCCAGAGTATGCATTTTGATGTCTTAGGTATTGCTTTAACAGAAGATGGGGAGACATAATCATGGTAGTTCCTCCTGGTACTTTTCAATAGCAAGATGTCTATTATTTAGTCTCTGGTGGCTGAAAAGTTTATAGTTTTCCTGCAAGATTTCTTCCTGGAAACGGATACCCAAATGAATTGGATGATCACTAATATCTTGAGGTCTACTTTGCATTTGTGATAATTTTTTCCTATGTGTCTTGGTAAAAGCGATATCGACATTAAGAAGTCGGTCAAAGCTCTTATCACATCTCTATAAGCTTTTCATGGACAATGTGTTCTTCTTTTTCTTTATTTCGTATTCCTGACTTTTTGATCATTTTGCTGGTAACGTTTCTGCATTGCTGCACGTTTGTGTTCAAATACTTGCTCAAGATTGCTTTGCTTGGATGGTGGTGGACAGCTCTGATAGTTGAAAAATATTATGCTACTTATCTCAGTCAGGCATGAAAGGTTAGTCTATCATCATGTTTCTGGTTTTTTGTTAATAATGTAAATGCAGGAGAAGTGGAGACAGGAGCAGAAAGCTAAGGAGCAAGCTATGGCTCAAGTGGAGGAAGAACAACGTGCCAAGGAATCAGCCATGGCTAGCAACAAAAGAAGGCTCGAAAGCTTGCGTTCGAAGATCGAAATAGACTTCCAGAGGCACAAAGACGATCTCCAAAGGCTGGAACAAGAGCTCTCTCGGGTCAAGGCCTCTTCTTCCGCTGCCCCATCCACTGAATTGAGTCTTAAACCCGATAATAATGCTTCCCCCACCGGAAAAGACATTGCCAGGCTGCTTGAGGAGCTCGATAGGCTTGACGGGTCATATGAAAAGGAGGCAAACTACGATCGGGAGTGCATTATATGCATGAAGGATGAGGTTTCGGTCGTGTTTCTTCCCTGCAATCACCAAGTCATATGTGCAAGCTGTAATGATAACTTCATGGGCAACAACAACAAGAAGGGTGGAAGCAATGTTATCTGTCCCTGCTGCCGAGCTCAGGTTCAGC